CAGACCCCTCCCCAGCTTTGTGGCTCTCCTCTGGACATGCTCCAGCAAAGCAATGTCTTTCTTGTAGTGAGGGGCCCAAAACTGAACACAGTATTTGGGAGGTGGCCTCACCAGCGCTGAGTACAGGGGTACAATCACTGCCCTAAAGTCCTGGCTCACAGTATAAAGTGTAATTGGAACAATACAAAAATCACCCTACATAAAGATACTTAATACATACTTCATAACTAGCATTTAGATAATCCATTCTTTTTATGGAAGCGTGGAAAAGAAATATTAACCCAGCAAAATCGAAAATACAGGAAAAGTTCTTGTAACCATCTCCATGGCAATCGCATTCCGTCTGCGATGTGACAACCCATTCGACAGCCAGGAACAGCGTTGGGGAGGGGTGAGAGCTAAAATTAATATTTCTTCTTGTTTTGCCTCTTAGCTCCCAATTGATGTATTAGCTGATTGATTTTCATGGTGGTTTTGTACCAGTAATAGATTTCTTGCCAACCACCCAATACCTGTCCCTTTCCTCGTTTTCTCTCCAGGATACTTCGTGCGCTTAGCACACACTCCCTACACCGATTCCTTCCTCCCAAATAAGTTCAGGTTTTTTCTGTATTAGTCATTTTTCAGAATCCAGGCAAGCTGTTCCTAGTTTTAGCACTGCATGTCAATTTAGAAATCTAATCTGTCCTTCCCAAAATCCATCCAGTATATTCTTAACTTGGTTCTAAATTCTGAGCTCTTTTTCAACTTGAAATGTCAGGCTTGACTCATTCCAAATATTAGAGCTAGAGCAGCTCTGACCTTGTTGATTTTCCAGTTAACTGACTCCATAAACAAACTTCCCCTCATGTCACCCATGGTCTGCAATTGCCAGCACCTATATAAATAAATGACCTTAAATCTGCACTTCTGAAATACTAATGAGGTTTATTTTATGGACTACCTTCTCATATATGACATAAGCTCCTATAAAACCCCAGGATTCAAGTAGGAATTAACCATTCATTTGGATGACAAGATACCTGAGGGTATATTAATGCATTTAAACTAGATAAATCCTGAGATTTAAGGTGGATAACCTCTATTTGGGATTAAGAAAGAAATTTCTGTGTACACATTCATAGATCTCTCCAGCTAACACCTACTTTAGGGTATACAAATGTGCATGAAATATTTCATACGGGCCAGGGAACGTGGTAGAATATACGATTCCCTCTCTGCCAATTCTCAGGGTTATGCTGTAGCTACAGCAACCGCTCAGATGGATGAGTAACACTGAAAAGCAGTTATTGCATTAAAAAGAGCACTAAATATTCATCCATGTTCTGAACTTCTCAAGTTAAGAAGAACAGTTGACAATACTGTGCACTGTAATTTCTCTTCTGACTTCTTTCTGTTCACTGTATTTCTCTCATTTAGGCATGGCTTGCACCCTAACCAAGGCTTGCGTGAGACCATCTTCAAGAAATACCACGGCAAGGGATTGTCCCTTTGGGGAACGAGCACCTCGGGCAGTCCACAGCTCTGCTTCTCTCTCCAGAATGAACTTCTTCATATCTCCTGATCAGGAGGGAAGGCAAGCTGGGAACTGGAGCTAAAAATCTTGGGGATGCTCTCTGTATCTCTAGGCAAATGGTTACCATTTAAGTTGCACGGCCTCCCCATTCCTTTCACTTACAAGTTCCCACTTCAAAAGTGGGAGTAGATTTCTTTTCAAAATACGACTTTCCATAGGCCATGTTGTTCCTGTTCTTTATCATTTCTTCTTAACTTTTAGACAGACCATGGGCTATTTCAGGCCTATTTCCCCTTCAGAAATGCCACTGACATACCATGGAGCATAGTGGTCTCTAGAGTTTGGAAAACCCAGCAGCATGAACCTCGATCTTTAGAGATGCTGTAGATAAGCTCCACTCTCCGCTTTAAGCTAAAATTGCCGTGCGAGGTGACGGCCCTGGCAGGAAAAGCAGCAACAGTATTTCCAGCAGTAGCAATTTCAAGTTCATTATGCAGAGCTTTCCCTTGAGGCCATTTTCTTTGTGTTTTTCTTGTTCTCATTGCTTCTTGCTTGCTTAAACTGACAGCAAATGCCCTGGTTGATTTTCACAGAAGTACATTTTCTATAGTAAAAAATGACCAGTAGTTTTGAGGAAAATGAAAAAATAAATCCTAGATATACTGGCTGCAATTGAGTAAATACAAAATATCCCCCCTTTGCATTCAGCATGGAGATATGGGACCATGCCACGTAGCAGCTTCGGAAGGGCTGGAGAAAAGATGTGAAAATTGCTTTTCTAGAGAAAGATCTGGAAAAAAACTACTCAGTATTTTTTTCCAGTAATTTTTGTTTTAAAAGTATGTACTCTCCATTTTTTGAGAAAAATATCAACATTTTAATAGAGTTCTTGGTTTATATTTGGTCATGGCCATTTACAAAGGAAAAACAGTAGTATAAGATTATATACCTAATAGACAAATATTATCTGCTTTACTTATTTCTCTGTAGTGCTAAGTATGGCTTTATGCTACTAAATCCTAATGTTACTTCTGACAGGGACAAATATTCTTTACTGCTCTCTGTAATACAGTGTACACCTCATCAGTAAGGAACAATGGTAAAGGTTGCTCGCTTCATGGAGACTTCATTGCTATTTTGAAGCCGTAGGCACATAATAACCAAGCACTTATAACCAGGGGACTTGAAGTGAACCCCATGAGCACAGGGACATCACAGAGACATGGACAACTTCATCATTCTCTGAATTATCTGCACTCGTTACTTTAGAATCATAGAATCGTTTAGGTTGGAAAAGCCCTTTCAGATCACCAAGCCCAACCGTTCCCCTAACCCTGCCATCCCACCCCCAAACCCTGGCCCT